AATTTGGAGGGATGGGCTTTTATTTGCGAGAAATCGATAGCTAAAGCCATTGTTTACAAAAGCAATTACGCCTCTTTGAAGTGTTAGCAATGAATTATTTCTTTTCTACTATGTTTCAGTGCTAACAACGCTGGCTCACAAGCGAAACAAAAACATCGCCTGCATCTGTCTGATTGCAAATATTTTTGGCTGCAATTTTTTGTTAATAAAGCTGAAATGTTCCTTAATAAACCTTGGGAAAATACAGTGAAATTTACAGAATTAGGAGGAAATGCTACACACTTAGAAAAATTGATGTAAATGTAGGTGCTCTGAGCAGAGTTGAAAAAATCATGAAAAAATCACCAGCATTCACTATGAAATGAATTTTTCATCCATAGTGAACTTTGATGAATTTTAGTGATTTTTTCAGCCCTGGCTCTGAGACTGATATATACTAAATTGAGCCATGATAGACGCGAAATTCAGCTGAAACAAACGTACTTTCGAATTTTTCAGCTTCGGAGGACTTAATTTTACATGACATGTTTGTTTACGTGTCATCTTTTGTGTCAAAGATGGATTCCGTCACGTGCGAAATTAGGTATTCCTAAGTGTGTATGTACTAATTTCAACATGAAGCTTTAGTGTGATAATTAGAGAAAGTTTTGAAGAGGATAGGTTGATAGTTCCGCTAGAGTAAGGCAGTGTGAAAATTGAAATACTACTATTTTTACACGAGACGTATTTCAGCTTTGACGTAAATCATGGAACGTAAACAAACATGGCATGTAAAATTAAGTGCCCTGAAACTGAATTATATGCACCTCGACGAAAAGTGTGTTTGATTGAATTGATTTTCTCGTCCTTTTCATCTGATTATTATGTTTAAAGGGCTGCTTGCATGTGTCGGTCTCAGGGCACTTAAATTTACATGTCTTTTTTGTAGTGTGTTGATGGGTTATAAGATTTGAGTTAACGGTGTTCAAAGTTAACGTATATTAGAATTAGCTGTTTATAATTAGCGTGTAGAACATCGGTCGATTCCGTTGAACGGAAACCAATACGTGCGAGATGATGTGATAAACGCCTCCACAGACGAAGGTCTGATCAAAGAGTAAAATAAAGTAGACAGTCATTCGTATCTGACAATTCAAAGTAATCAGTTCTCTTTTACTACTTTCCTCCAATCATACACAGTTAAAATTATTTAGTAATTTTACACGAATTTCCATGCACAAAAAAAAATAGCATGCATATTCATGTAAGATTAAATTGGTTTTTTTAATTTGCACGACTTGAAATTTAGATGCATGTAAAATTAAACGTCAATTGAATTTTACATGGATGACTTTAGATGGGCTCATCTTGTAATTTTACAGGACATTTAAAATTACACGCAACCGTCATTGTGCTCGTTGTCTTTTTGCAGAGGAATCTCAATTGCGGGAATGAAATTGTAATGCTCACGGAAAAACTTGTTGAGATGTACGCTAATCTAAATGTGCCAGCAGATCCAAACATGACATCAAAAATGTTACGATTGAACATGATCATGAAGGTCAAAGATGCATTGATGCATGTTTTGCCATCAATTTAGCACTATTTTCCACAAAATTGCACGAGGAAACGGACAACGAAAAGCTGATTTTTAAAATAAAAGAGGCACTCTGGAAAAACACATTCCATAGAACTGAGCTCACAAAACACACAATACAACATTTTCCACTAAATAAGTTACTCGAGCATCGAGCTATACGCGGCGGAGAAAAAAAAAACTGATCGAATAATCGGTCCATCCGTCTTATTAGCTTTCTCAATTTGTTTGTTGATTAAAATTATGCACGAGCATGTATAGTTTTTATCGATAAAAATTCGATGTTCTTCGATAATTTTTTACAACGCGTGCTGATATTTCACTGCAAGAGAAAATTAATCGATTAAACGTTTATTTATATAAGTTTTATCATGTTCTTTTGATGTGCATGATTTTTAAGGTAAAATAAAATTAAAACATAGTTTAAAGCAATGTAATTTTTAAACAGTTTTGGTGTACATGTCATGTCAAATTCATTACTTTTTTTTACTGTACAGTCTCATAGTCAGAGCTGATAAATATCACGACCGCCATGTGACAATGAAAAAACAAGTTCTCTCACTATCACGAGCAGAGTTGGTAACGGTCAGTTTGGTCAGTGACGTTTGACGAAAACCAAAAATAAATTTTCGCGGTACAAAAACCATAATTTCTATACATCTTTCGTCATTGACAGTAATCCCTTTGAACAAATCCTATCGCATCTTTTACAGGTCTTCACTTTTTTTTTGTATCATGCATGGACAAAAAAAAATCAAACACCGTCGAACGTCCTTGTGAGCATACTAGTAACCACACTATGAGCGCTTCTTGTTTTCCTTTAGCCTTTCCATTATCCAAAGCGTTGATAGACCAGTGGTAAAGACACAAGCCTTTTAATTCCAACGTTGGTGGTGCAGATCCGTTCAATACCCATTTTAAGTTTTTTGTGTTGCTTCCAACGATCATCATTTTTTTTTTGTCAAACAATGTGGCTGACTAAAACGTGCCGTTTTTAATCCTCTCCGAGTAACCGACAGATCTAAGAGAGAGAGAACGTACTGAGCTAGATTTTTTTCACGACGTAAATGAAAGAGGACTGTCTTCATACGGAATTTGTCATGCGCTGCTTGGAGTGCGACGAAGATAGTAATAAAATCTTTCGACTCCATTTCCGCGAGTTTTGATCACAGGACTTTAAAACTTGCAGGATGTAAATAATTCACTATGAACTAAATCCACCCAAATTTTCATTAAATTCTAACAAACGGTTAAAAAGTTAGAGCAATTTCAAAGTGTGGCAATTTCATCGTGGACACCCTTTACAATATTTATCATCACTGACTTTGCTCTCTCTACGTTGATGCAAGACAGCCCTGATCACGAGGCAAAACAATTTAGCATTCATGAGAATAATTGTCATAATTGACATCAGCATTTCTAACTGATTTAGATTAATATAGACAATCAACTGTATGTAATCGGTAAAGTGTCAATAATATCAATAAATGAGCTAGTAATAGCGATGTTAACAACACTGTCACGTTCTGTCATGACAAAAAATCGATGAGATTCTGAAGTAAATCTTTATCATCGTTTCTCATCCGATGATAGTGACAGAAGTATCTCTGTAAATATCAGGTGAGATTTTTTTTTTGAAAATGACATTTGCCAGCTGTGATTGCTGCTCAATACACCTTGTTCTAGAAATTCACAAGATTGGCTAAATAAAAACATCAACACATACATTTTAAGCTCGTTTTGTATATCTGGGGAAAATAGCTTCACTTAAATGTTTGTCACTATAAAATCATGGATTTCTGCGCTCGATCACTGTCGCCATCACCTTACTACGCCCCTGCCTTCAAGTCTGTAAAATACTCACCAGGTTTTCTCGAAAATGGCAGGACTGATTGCATCCAGGCTCAAGACACCGTCACTCAATTTGGATTCTTCTTGTTTTTTGTGTGGCATATGTTAGAGCTAGTGTAAGCGGGTCTTAACTTGACGCTTAACTAGTCAGCAAGCCGTGCGTCCAGCTCGTCGATGTCAGCGCCGTTACAGTTCAATGCCGTTATACGGCGAGCTCGATGGCAACGCTTCAATGAACACGCACGGACAACTCCCCTCACTTTTTCGGACCATCTCTCAACGAGGTAAGTCACACATTTTTGAAATATTCTTCAATCATCATAATTAGTATACACATACATTCACACACAAGCCATCCAAAAATTAGTATTTCATGATTTAACATCGTGTATTTTCTGGGTAAAACACTATCACTGCACTTACTTACTTGTGTTCTTCGTAGCATTCCACAATTTCACTTAAACAAATACACAAAGTTAATATAAACTGGAGGTCAAATCTCTTGTAGAAAAAAAATAAAACTTCAAGAAATCACTTCGACTTCACTTCTTTGCTAGCCAACGTAAAAGAATAATTGAACAAGCGTTGCCAGATGTGTTACCTCTAGCAGTGAATATAAGTTTATTAAAACATGCAAATACGAAGTTTAAACCAATAACTTTGACGAGTGGATGTGTTTAATAATTAATAAATATCAAACACAGAATAAATAAAACTAAAGAGGAGCGTTCCAATTACAAAGGTAAAAAAATTGAATTAAGTAAAACAGCAAAAACGGGTTATCTTCCATTTAATTCCACTTAATTAATTTTGGTATCCATAACAGATACGTATTTCGACTACAATGTGCAGTCTTCATCAGTGTCATTCCCAGTAAAGAACTTATCAAAATCTAACTTAATTCTATGGGTAAAAAAGTCAAGATCACAGGTATAAAAATGAAACTACAATGTGTTGAATCGGAACCTACCTAACTAATAAAACCAAAGATTTAAGTTAACTAAAGGAGAAAAATCTATACAACTCTCAAATAAGGACATTGAATTAAACACAAACAATCTCCCCTGGCAGCATTGCATGTAGCCTGTTAGTGGCTTTCCCGCTCAGGGGTGTAAACAAAGCGTGGTCTGGCAGAGTGAATGTTTTGTCTACGACATTCTTATACACGTGCATGTGTGACGTCACATTTGCTGTTGTATTGAAAAGTAAAAGAATAAAAGATATGGTAGATTTTGCTCACCATACCAGTTGATATTTATGATTCATTGACTGTTTTGGCACGGCGACGTACGCTACCAACGAATTTTATCAATACTTTTAGAAAGCGATGATTTAGGAATACATGAAGAAGAAGTAAAAGCAAATCGAGTGATGGTTAGTTGTCTCTTAACGATGATCGCACATTTGGTTCCGGAGATATAAAGAATTTTTGTAACTCACGTCTATGTTTTCTGTTTGTTTTCATCTAGCCTATTAGGTTAGATACTAGTTTCCAGAAAATAATAATAAAAATATGGGATATCTTTCAAATACTATTGAACTACTGAATATCACAAAATAACTACCACTACCATCACTCTTCCACTTTGATTTTATTAACATAAACAAAACACTCGTTCCGTTGTTCCCGTTCCTTTTCTTCACGCTCCTGCATCTCGATAGACCACGGTTGTAGCTCTCCGGAAGCCCAAAACCAATAAACAACAAATCCAAACGCATAAATTCCCGCTGCAATGTAGAACACCACCTTCCACTCATCGGGAGAGTTGTTTTCCGTAAGATATCCAACCACAATCGGAGTTATAATTCCCGCAGCCGTGCCAAACGAATTCGAGATGCCCATCAGCAAGCCGGCGCTTTTGGGTGACAGATCTAGGTGATTTACGGCATAACCGCTCCATGCAAACGCTCCTGCCGACACCACCAGCGTTATAAAGATGATGGATGCAATCGGAGTAAAGATCACCGCTGCTGCAATCATGGACAAACATTGGACCAAGAAAGCACCACAGTTGAAATTTCGCCGAACTTGGGTCGTGGTGAGTATGCCTTTGATCTGGAACCAATCGGCAAGGTATCCGGCAATGTACAAGGTGATGCTCATTCCAAAGTATGGCAGTGCAGAAATGAAACCGCTGGATTGAACTTCAAAGTGCATTGCATCCTTCAAAAATCTTGGTAGCTGTGTCAATAGAGTGTAGAAGCCCCAGTTGTGGCAAAAATTTGCCGTCACCAATCCATATACAGCCGTTGACGTAAGGATGCCCTTCCAGGGATGTTTCACCTTTTCGTTGTCCTCTGCAACTCTACCCAGACTTTGTAGGATAAATTCCTTTTCTGTTGTTGTTATGAATCGGTCTTCTTCCGGAGATCTTCGTACGAGCATCAACCATCCAACATACCAAGCGCAGCCGAATGCACCGAAGAAGTAGAACACACTTTCCCAATTCCAGTGCTTTGCCAAAACCCCACTCAACAGCATGGCCAGGATCGTTCCCATAAACACACCAGCAAATGCGAACAGAACCATTCGGGATCGTTCGCTCGGAGGCGCCCATCGGGCCCAGATTGAATGCATGCACGGAAAGGTTACGCCTTGGAATATGCCCTCTAGAACACGAACAGCAATCATCCATCCGACGCCTCCATGAGCAGCCAGAGGGGTCAAAAGCGTAAGGACTGCCGATACTCCAACACCAATTCCAAAAGCCTGCAATTACAAGGTATATCAATGGCTAACACCACTTTGGTCAAAGTTCTTACAATATGAGGACCAAACCATTGAGAAACGTAGCCTCCGGGTATCTGCGTGATCAGGTAGCCGTAGAAGAACGAGCTCAGCACGTACCCTTGCACGCTAGAGCTCCAATCGAAATATTGTTCCTGAAATTGTAAACCGTCACTACTGATGCACTAAACCAGTCCAATCAATAACATTCACCTACATAATGAACCGTCCCATTATCGATCACCAGCGTTCTGTTCTCCGTCATGGCCACGATGGCTACGCTCAGATTCGTCCGCATCGTGTACTGATTTAAAAATCCCAGAAAGGCCATCACAACCACAATGTACCGGCGTCGCTTCCAAAACATCCACATCGGCGCATCGATCCCATCGCTAATGAGTTGACAAAATACGAATAATCAGCCATAAGTGTTGCCTTCTTATCAAGATCGTACTACCTTAATTTACTGCTTTCCGCTGCATCCATGACGGTGTGGTGGAGCTTCTAAGTGCCTCTGATTCCTAAGGGCAAGGTCAATAAAAGTCTATCGGCAGCTACCGCTGGGAAAACTCAACTTAGGAACCGAGCCAGGGAGTGCTTCACGTTCAACTGGTAGCCTTGAGGTACCCTCAGGAAAGCTGAGTCTGCCTTCTGCCGAGAGGAAGATAGGTTGCTCGCTCTTTGGTTATCATAGCATGTTTTCTTCTTCGCTCGCTCCAAGTGAATACGAGTGTAGCTATTAGCTGCAAGTACCTGTAGATAGACGGATTTGTCGTGGGTGTAATTGTCTTTCGACAGCATTTGCAATGACTGATTAGATGGGTCAGGTACGGTAGTAAAATGATGATTGCCTGCCGTTCGGAGGCAACTGATTAGAGTGGATGATTTGCCTATTTTCATATTGTCACAATACTAATGAGCTTAGTGTGGTGTATACCTTTTGTCTTCGCGATACGTTTGCTCTGAACAGCATTTCGAACTATTGAAGCATCACTGACTGGCATTTATTAGCAAATATTGTAGTTTGCATGCAAAACAGCGTACTAGATTAACAACAACTTTCTGACGGGATAGCTATTTCTGGTTGGAACGTCATCCAAGCCAAACTAAAGAACCAGCAAAGAATGACTGTATTTCGATCAAATCTTCGGCACCAAATAACCGATTCGAATGAAATACAATGGGGTTCTATGAGAAATACACACAAACATGACAACAACAACACTCAAATCAGTTCAGCCTTCTTCGAGAAAAGTGAGTCAAAAAGTACGTAACGCAATAGGGGACAAGAAGTGGAGTGTATAAAAGTGTTACAATTTTCAGAGTTGGTTGGAAATGCTCACATGAAGCTTTAGTGTGATAATTTATTAGCTAGAGAATGATCTTTTAGAAGAGCTAATAAATTATCACACTAAAGCTTCATGCTAGCATTTCCAACCAACTCTGAAAATCGCTAACTTCCTATATGAAGTAACATAAAAACACTTTGAATGTGTTACAATGTGTTATACTTTGCTGAGAGGGCGAAAAGGGGTGCTTGGTAGAGTTAGGGGTAAAAATGAATATTTAACCAATGTTGTCCCTGGTAGGCAAGTTTACGGAAAAAAAATAATTCAAAATATCTTGCGCTCCTGGTGAACACAATCTAGGAAAACTAAAAATAAAATGGCTTTCAAACGTTGAACAAAAAATAAAATAGCAGTATTTTGATTTTTTCGAGACTGAAAAGCCATTCACAACACACATCAATTCCCAAACAAACCGTACAAAACAAAGGACAAATGAAAAACTAACATTTTCAGTTTAAATTGCTACCACTCCTGCTGGACAAATTCAGGAAAAATTAAATTTATGTTAAATTTGAAATGGCTAGTGCGTACTCTAGCGGAACTAACAACATACCCTTTTCAGACTTTTCTCTAGGTAATAAATTGTCACACTAAAGCTTCATGTTAGAAAGCATTTCCAATCAACTCTGAAAATCGTAAACTTCACGTATGAAGTAACAAAACACACTTTGAATGTAATAAAAAATGGCAAATTTAGTACAAACCACGCCCCTAATCGAGGAAAAATTAAAAAAGTTAAATAGTACCACTAAACTGTTAAAAAGTTCATTCGGTTGAGGTTAATCTCTAATGGTGTAAATCCTTATTGGCGGACCAAAATTACCACTACTTAGTGGCGTAAAATATAAATTTTGACACGATGATGCTTTAAAAATTCCTTCACGGTGAGTTATGGGAGAGAAGTTTCGGAAGTTCAGAAAGTACTGAATCAATTGAGAATATTTCGGAATCACTTCGAAAAGTACTGAATCGCTTCAGTACCCTTTGGAATAACTTCGCAATGTAATGAATGACTTAAAAGAATAATTAAACCACTTCGGAAAGTAGTTAATCACTTCAGAAAAGTTCGAAATCACTTGAGGAAGTACTGGATCACTTCAGAAAAGTTTGTACATCACTTCAGAAAATACTGAACTGCTTCGGAATGTATTGTATCACTTTTGAAATTACGGAGTCACTTCCGACCAAACTGAATCGGTTAAGAACAGTTTGGAATCACTTCAGAAAGTATTGAATAACTTCAGAAAAGATAGAAAACACTAGGAAAAGTACTGAGTCATTGCGGAAAGTTCACTTCGGAAATAATTGAATCTTTTAAGAATGCATTAAATCACTTCAGAAATGTTCAGAATCACTTCGGAAAATACTGAATATCTTCAGGACTGTTCGGAATCACTTTGGAAAACTTCATGCTCGCTTCGGAATGTGCTGAATCATTTCAGAAAGTACTGAAATACTTCAAAAAATGTGAACCACTTCAAAAGGTACTAAATCACTTCAGAAAAGTTTAGAATGACTCCAGAAACTACTGGATCATTCCAGAATGAATATAATCACTTTCTCAAGTACTGAGTCACTTTGGAAAGAGAGCTGAATTACTCTAGGAAAGTTTGAAATCAGTGCAGCAAGTACTGAATTGCTTCAGACAAGCTCGGAATCTCTTCGGATAATATTGAATCACTTCAGAAAATTTCAGATTCACATTGAAAAGTACTGAAACGTCCCAGAAAGTTTGTAATCATTTCCGCAAGGACGGAATCACTTCTAAAATAATTGAGTCCGTTAGAAACGCACTAAATCATCTCAGAAATGTTCTCAATCACTTAAGAAGTACTTAATCGCTTCAGAAAATTCATAATCACTTCGGAAAGTACTGAATAATTTCAGATAGTACTGAATCACTTCAGAAAAATTCAGAAACACTCTAGAAAGTACTGAATAATTTCAGGAATGTTTAAAATCACTCCAAAAAGTACTAAATCATTTCAGATAGTTTGTAATCACTTCCGAAAATACTGAATCACTGCGTAAAGAACTGAATAACTTTGGAAAAGATGGAAATAACTGCTGAAAGTACTGAATCACTTCAGAAAAGCTCTGAAATTCTTCCGATAGCATTGAATGACTTAAGAAAATTTCTGAATCTTTTTTGGAAAATACTTATTTTTTTTCAAGAGTCGAATCACTTTGTTATAACTTAATCACTTCAGAAAAGTTTGGAATCCCTTCAGAAAATATTTAATCACTTCTGAAAAATTTGAATCACTTTATGACACACAGAATCATTTCAAAAAAGTTCGAAACCTTTTCTGATTTTTATCACTAAGTCATATATGTACTCAATTGTGACACATCGAAAAAGGTCTCGATTTTGGCAACATAGATGAAGTACAGTCAACTCTCCACAACTCGATGTCCACTAACTCAATATCGAATTATAGAACCATGGGAAAAATGAATGTTAGCAAAAGCTGGGTTCACGAGGTTTCCTAGACAAAAGTTTCATTTACGGAAGTAAGGTTCTTATACGAGAGCCACATGGGATGTGCCATTTTACATGAATCTGCTTATATTTTTCATTGCAGATCTTTTATGCTGCCTATTAATTTATGCAATCTTAACAGTAGTCATAATTTATAACTACTCAAGATATCACAAATACAAATCCATCATGCTGTATTAATTGAGCAGCAACACAGAACCCAAATTGGTAATGATTTGTAAAACGCCAGGTATTCTGAATTAAACGCATAAAGCGAATCCATATTTAGTCATTTTTTTTTTTTTTGCTTTTGAATTTAAGTAGGGTAGAGAACTACTTCGGCCTAATCGCCCATTTTGGACCTATCGAGCAGAAAACTTCAAATAAATCCATGATTTCAGGGTTAACTAGTCAATTATGTGTTTGGTACGATACTTTAGTTAATAAGCTTCCGAACGAAGTCAATGAGAAAGCGTGATATGAAGGTTTGCACCCATTATTCCCAAAAACAAAAGAAGCGCTCCGACCGAATCAATTTTTATCTTCATCGGATAGGCCGAAGTGAATTCATTGGCGGTTCAATGGCGTTTCAATGCGTTAGGCCGAGTTTGGCGTCAAGAAGCAGTGTTAGACTTTTGGCAATATATCAACGATTGGTTTTTCTTTATCAAATCTTTTGGTACGTACGGAAAGGTAAATAAATTTGGAAGCCATCAGTAATTATAACATTCCGTTTCGTGCTAAACTGCGTTAGATTAAGAAATACTAAGTGCGGGTCGTGCTTAATAGGCCGGAAATGGGGTAGTTAACCCTATCATCATGTCGATAATTTTCCTCTTAGTTAGCCTCATACATGAGACTTAACAAAGGTGACCGAGTGCTTTGAAGCGGGTTATGGTAATAAGGGCTTCATACTGTGGACGTTTTGATTTGGTAACTGACTGGTAGTTTTACTCGAGGTTTTGCCATGAATCTGTAGGAAAATTTCTAGAAATTGTTCAAGGTTTTTCTTTTTTGAGAAAGTTAAGTATGTAGGTATAAGACAAAACGAAATTTTGTTTTCCTTTTTTGCTTAATAAGACGCACCTGGATCTCACTACAAGTCGCCTCTGATGAACATGAACGTGGATTACTTGTTATTATTTGCAAATGGGAATTTGAGAGGTCACACCAAGCTCAATAAATTAACAAAAATTTGAAAGCGATATGGATTCTGATACGAGTGTGTTCCAAAGTTCATTTTTACCGTTGAGATAGTTTGTGGATCCAATGCAAAAATAGTTTGGCAAAAGCCAACTCCATCTACCGCACTACTGTCGCCCAATCCATTTTATGTTTATCAAGAAATCATCTGAGGTAATTAATGAAAAGACAAGATTTATTGAAAATGCAATTAATTCGCTATGGCCGACAAAAGTTGCATTAAATGGCAAGCAGTTCACTAGTAGACATTATTTTATGCTGACTTTGGTTGATAAGAAAGTGTGCAATGCTGCAACTGAAACGACATCAACAATGAAATGTTATATAACTATGTGGCGCAAGTTCAAAGGAATTCAATAATCGTGGTGTTTAAAAGGAAATCAACACAGATTCTCATAAATTCGGATTATCTATTCTTTATGCTAAGATTCGTATTTTCGTGACAATTTTATATCTTTCTTAGAAATTGCCGATCAAACAATGGCGGTTAACTGGCAATGAAAAGGAAATCGTCAGAGAATGAAAAGAACACATTCAAGAAAACTTCAGAG